CTACTTCTCAATAATACTTGGAGTTTGGTTCCATGTCCCCCTGATGCTAATGTTGTTGGATCGAAATGGGTCTATCGTGTTAAACAGAAGGCGGATGGTAGTGTTGAACGATTGAAGGCTCGTCTTGTTGCTCAAGGTTACACTCAACAACCCGGTGTTGATTATGATGAAACATTTAGTCCTGTTGTCAAGCCTGTTACTATTCGGGTTGTGCTTTCTCTTGCAGTAATGCGTTCTTGGCCTATTCATCAACTTGATGTCAAGAATGCTTTTCTTAATTGTACTTTGTCTGAAACTGTTTACATGTCTCAGCCGCCTGGTTTTATTGATTCCGCTCATCCAGATTATGTTTGTAAGTTACATCGAGCACTTTATGGCTTGAAACAGGCTCCTCGGGCATGGTTTCACAGGTTTACCTCTTTTCTCCTCTCTTGTGGCTTTGTTCAGGCTAAGTCTGATTGGTCTTTGTTTGTGTTCCGCAAAGGTGACTTGATGGCTTATCTTCTTCTTTATGTGGATGATATTATTCTCACTGCTTCGTCTTCATCCTTGTTGGCTAAAATTATTTCCCTACTGCAATCTGAATTTCGGATGATTGATTTGGGCTCTCTAAATTATTTTCTTGGCATTAGTGCTCATTTTAATGCTACTGGCTTGTTCTTATCTCAATCTAAATATGTTGCTGACTTGCTTGCTAAGAGTGGTATGCGTGATTGTAAGCCTGCCTCCACACCGTTGAGTCCGAAGATGAAATTAATGGTTGATGATGGTGTTTTGTATCATGATCCCTCTTTGTATCGTAGTCTTGTTGGTGCTCTGCATTACCTTACCTTTACTCGGCCTGATATTGCTTTTGCGGTGGGCCAAGTTTGTCAATTTATGCATAAGCCTACTACTTCTCATTTTCAAGCTGTCAAACGGATCTTATGATACTTAAAGGGCACCATGGACTATGGTTTACAGCTATATCATCATTCTTTGCTTTCTTTGCATATGTTCACAGATGCAGATTGGGCAGGTTGTGTTGATACTCGCCGGTCTGTTTCTGGCTATTGTCTTTTTCTGGGCAATTCTCTTATTTCTTGGTCATCAAAGAAACAACACACGGTTGCTCGTTCTAGTGCAGAAGCCGAGTATCGTGCTCTTGCCAATGCTGCTGCTGAGGTCTTATGGGTTCGTCAGTTACTTTTTGAGCTTTATGCTTTTCTTCCTACAGCACCGGTGCTATTTTGTGATAATCTTAGTGCTATCTATCTTTCTCTTAATCCCATTCAGCATCAGCGCACTAAGCATATTGAGATTGACATTCATTTTGTGAGAGAGAAGATTGCTTCTGGGATTTTGTCTATTCGTCATGTTTCTTCATATTTTCAGCGTGCTGATGTCTTCACCAAGGCTCTTTCTATGCCTTTGTTTCATACTCAGAGGGCCAATTTGAACGTGATTTGTATGCCCGCTCAAATTGAGGGGGGATGATAATGTATATATATTATAGTTGTATACTTGTAAAGGGTAGTTAGGGTATTTCCTACAATATACCACATGTATAAATACTCTTTTACAATAAT